AGAGAGAGAGAGAGAGAGAGAGAGAGAGAGAGGCAGAGATAATAAAAATTCTTATTAAAAAATTCTGGGAAACAGGTGATTTTATTCCATATAGCAGCTGCACATAGAGAGGTCCATAAAAGTTATTTTGTCCCAGGTCATGGGGGTAGTTGAGAAATAAAGTGAATCCAACCCCACCGCCTCAGAGACAGACCACAAAGCCTAGAATCAGCCCAGAGGAAACCATACGTCGTCGGCGAGAAGCGTGGTTCATAGGGGACCAACATTGGAGAAGAGTCGCTGAAGGGCCTGAGAGGGAAGGGACAGCTCAGGGAATGACACGCAGTCGGGCTTCAGGGGAACATGGTGTGCAAGTGAGAACAGTGGCGGGTGGTGGGGAAGCCCAATGGTGTGCTCCAGAGCCTGCGTGCGGATGCGGATGCGCAGTGAGGCCTTTAGCGTCTCAGCATCTGAGCCCCGACTCTGCGCTGGAGAATTCTTAGTGTGCCCCCTTCGGGGACATCAGATCCTTGCTCCCTTGATCCTTGGCAGGAAGGTCACAGTCAAGCCAGTGCTCCTACTCCGGGCCCTGGATCTTTACAAAGTGACTCACACAGTCATCAGACTTATTCACCTCATGTCATTCACCTCAGAGGCAGAAGCAGCCTGTGTCGGGGCTGTGGGAGCTGTCTGGGGGGCGGCTCTCAGGGCCCTGCGGCCCCCTACCCAGTCATCTCCTCATACAGAACTTGGTGGAAGTCTCAGGTGCCTGATATTTTTCAGCTCTTACCTACTTCTCAAGGTTGATTTTGTTTTTGCTGTTGTTTTTAAGACAGAGTCTCATCTTGAACTTCTGATCCTCCTACCTCTGCCTCCCAAGGCCTGCCTGGTATTACAGACATGCACCATGGTACACAGTTTTATGTGGTGTTAAGGATCAGGTCCAGGGCTTCAGGTGTGCTAGGCAAGCACTATGCCGACTGGATTACAGCTCTAGCCTCCAAGCCTGATCCGAGGCTTCCCGTCAGTTCTGGGAGTTACTCAGTATCATCCAGGAAACTCTTCTTCCTTGTAAGTGATCAGAGTCCATTTCTGTCGTCTGCAGTGAAGCGCCTCAATTAGTATAAAGACCTATTGAAAGTACCAGTGAGAGGAAATGGCATGCACATTATGGAAGAGGAAAATAGAGAGTTCTAAGGGGGATGGACTGAAGAGGGAGAAAAGGAAGAGGCAGTCATGATGTGTGAGAGGTGTGGAGAGCATTGACCTTGTGAGGAGGAGGACCATGGATGTAAACATGGAAAAGTAGGAGTGTCCAAGTCGACAGCAACTTTGAGACTGGATAGGCAGGAAGATGATGTTGCAAAAAGAAAGAAGCCATTCATTTACAGAGAACTGGCTTGAAGGAGACAGGCATTCATTTATTCAGCAAATATTAAGTGTCTGTTGTATACCATGGACTGAGAGGCACCAAAAAAAAAAAAGCAGTGGGGAAGAGAAAGGACTCAGTTCTTTGATGAACAACTGCACACCTAAATAATGAATCTGCACTAATTAAGTTTGTTCTGGAGTGCTATACACCCACCACAATACATCTGGCTGGCCGGTAGAATTTCAGAAAAGATCTAAGGAAGGACAGCTGGCCCAAAGACAGAGATTAGTAGTCATTCCCATAGATGCTCATGTGGTGATACTTTATTTGTGCTCTAATAAATAAAGCTTGTCTGGAGATCAGAGGAAAAAGACAGCCATTATAAGTAAACACACAAGTCAGGCCATGTTAGCACATGCCTTTAATCCTATCAGTTGGGAGGCAGGGATCTGTCTGGATCTATGTGAGTTCAAGGCCACACTGGGAACGGAGCCAGGTGTGGTGGCACAGGCCTGAAATTCCAACACCAATTAAACCATGGAGGTCTGGAGGTCTGTATAGACAGACAGGAAGTGACAGAGCTGGGCAGGAAGAGGAAGTGATGTAGCTGGACACAGTGAGCAAATCAGATGGCAGAACAGCAAGGCATATAGGCGTGGGTAAACAGGAAGTATCTTGCTTTTTGGAAGCTGCGGAGTTGGTGAGGGGAGGTTAGCATGTGGCTGTTCCTATTCCTCTGATCTCTCTCGGGTTTTCATCCCTATACCTGGCTCCATGTTTTCTATTAATAAGAACATTTAGAAATTCATCTACATGCTCATTTTATTCATTCACTTATTCAACTATATTTACTGAGCATCTACTATGTTCTCAATTCCATTCCTCAAATTAGAAGCACAAAACCTACACACACACAGAGAGAAAGACAGAGACAGAGACAGAGACAGAGACACAAAGAGACAGACAGAGACAGAAAGACAGACAGACAGACAGAGAGCACAAAAGCGAGTCTGAGCTTTTGTGGAGTTTTTGACATAGAGAGATGAGGCAAGTCAGTAAGCAATAAACTGTGGTGGATTTGATGTGAATTGTCAGCAAAATGAAGGCCTCTATGAATCCAGGGATTTTTTCAATACAAAGATCTGGAAGAGTGGATGTCACTTTCCAAAGGAAAGGGATTAAGGAATTTCCCTAAAGCTCCAGAGGGAGTGGAATTGTTTTCAGCCTTTGCCTCCTTTCTTTTTGAAACATTTTGTTCAAAAGTCAGGACACAGGAGGGACCAAGCGATGCTCGGCATCCATGTTATGGGCAAAGGGAACCATGGGATGGCAGAGGTTCTTGAAGCCCAGTGTAGAGGAGCGGATGAAGTGGAGGCCTCAAGAAGGAGAGAAGATAAATGGAAGACAGATTTTATTTTGTGAGTGGGTTAAAGGTGAAGCTGTCGTTTTCTACACTGACATGTCTGTCAATGATGATCAATAGATTGTGTTGGTGGATAGATGATAGATTGACAGACACAGAGATGGTTGTTTGTATAATAAAACATATTGCCTAACACTGTCCACGGAGACGTCAGGGAGCAGTGATACTCCAAGAATAACAAGCTTATCTAGAATGCAAATATCAGTTTCTACATTTCACCTTCCATCAAGACGAATAAAGGATGCTTGTCAAAATGACCAGTGTCAGGGCTGGGGCAGAGAAAATACCAGGCCATAAAATAAGGAAGTGCTCAATGAATTTACTGAGACAGAAACTAACTAGGCAGCTGGATCAAATCTAGGGAATTTGAAGCATTGGGATAAATAACGGGGCACTGAGGGAAAGATTTAACATCTGCAGTATTGTTGCCAAAGATACATAACCCACATCTAATCATGAAGAAACAACAGACAATCCACATGGAGGAATGTTCTACAATACAATGGGTCTGTAATCTTCTAAATTGTCCCGGTCATGAAAGTAAAGCTTTGTAATTGTGTCAGATGGAAGGACACTGGGAAGACAGAATTCAGTGTGATGAATAGTTCTGGACTAAATCCTTTTGTTACAAAGGGTAGCATTGGCCCGCCTGGCTAATAAGGGCTGGGAGTTGGGCAGCACTGATGCAGTTATGCTAATTTCCTGATTGGGAGCATCGCATTGGGTTAGAAGGAGAATGTCTATTTGTAGGACACATACATATCTAAAGTACTAGGGATAACGGGGTCACATGTGGGCAACTTACATCCAAAGCACTAGGGATAATAGGGTTGCATGGGGGCAACTTCCTCGTATGGTTCAGCAAAGGAGAGCATTCTCCACGACTGTTCTAACATGCCTGTACCTTTCAGATGGTTTCCATGTAGGTCAGTAGTAGAGTACTTGCCTAGCATCTGTGAAATTCTGCATTCAATCCCCAGTATCTGGTGAGTGCAGGCAGGCAAGAAGGAGCAAACCTTCACTGAGGCAGAGAAGAGTGAGAGGAAAATCGGGCCGAATGACATCCAAAAACATCGTGTTGGGGTCACAAGAGAGGACAGTTGATGCTCATTGGTGCAGAGACTGAAGAGGGAGAAGAAGAAGAAGAAGAAGAAGAAGAAGAAGAAGAAGAAGAAGAAGAAGAAGAAGAAGAAGAAGAAGAAGAAGAAGAAGAAGAAGA